TATGTGCCATGACTGGGAATTGAACCAGCAACCTTTCGCTTTGTTGGACAATGCCCAACCAACTGAGCCTTTCTGGTCAGGGCCCTTCTCAGCCTCCTGACTTAGGGTATAAATTGAAGTTTCAAATAGGGGAGAGCTGCCCAGCTCAGGAGGTCTCCCAGTACCTCAGTATTCAGGGAGATTGTGCACATGCCAAAGGGCTTACAGGATACCACAATTTCTACTCAGGCCGGCTATGTCTAGTATCCCTCAACCCTTGCACAAGCTGAGATTTTGGTTCTGCTTTTACATTTTTGCAATTCACCTTCCAGCTTACCAAAAATGTTACATCATAACTTTTCTATAATATATTTTTAAAAGTAATTTCAGTCTTTACCACTACTTAATTTAATCTCAGAGCTTGCAAGATTCCCCACCAATCCAAGCCATCTGCTCAGCATCAACATGGAAGTGCATGCCCTTTCATATGACATTTGAAAATACTTCCTTTCCCTCCAACCTACATTGCTTTATTGATCTTAACAGTTAAGGCAAGCAGCAATTCCTTTTCATAGCATTGTTCCATTGTTTCCGTTAAATTTTCACTGAAAAAAAATTATCTATTTCAAGATACTTCTATATCTAAAAAATGAGTTTGTATAAAAGAATTACTATTAGCTGTCTTTATTATTTATTTAGAGCAAATCATTACAGATTGAGATTGAGACTGATTTGAGATCATGCCCTGTTAATGAAGAAAAATCAAATGTTGAGTCAATTTTAGCACCAACAGAGCATAAAAATAATTTTCAGCTAAATAATATTTCAAAAATATAAGCAAATGAGAACATGAATATGTGAATAATTTGGGGGGCTATTTTTTCACAATTAGGTTGAATTTTTTATCTTATCATTTGTATTTAAAAAATTATAAACTTCCAAGTAATCATGATAAAACAAGCTTTGACTTACATTAAAGAAATACTCAAATTAATCAGCGCCTCCAAACCTGGTCTTTGTAAAGAGTGGTCACTCTGAAGGTGCCTCTCCAAATTGCCTGGTAAAAGACAGGCTCTCTGGGCCATTTCTAAAAGTTTTCTACATTTTCAGTATAAATAGCAATAAGAGGTAACAATATTTAGCTGCAGTTTTAGGCTTGGTTTCCAAAGAGTTAGACTCCCCTCATTACTTAGCATTTCATAAAAACTTCTGAAATGTTCTACCATGACTCTTTGAGTCTTTAGAAACCATTTAAACAAAAGTTTGTAAAGTCAACTCTCCAGGCCTCAAATCTAGCATTTTCTGTTAGTTGAGATCGAAAGTCATTTTATCATTTTCACTTCTATCACTGCCTCAGTAAACCCAATAACTAACAATTACTTTTCCATTTTGCAAGTAAGTTTCAGAGCCTCTAGGTTTTTGCAGTTTAATTCTCATATTCCTTTTCTTTTTTGGAAAAACCTGTCATTTGACGTGGACTTGAGTTCTTCCTACTTCCTTATCTGTGTGAAACTTGGGGTGGGATAGTATTTTTACTTATCCTTCTAGGTTTGTTCTGGCATTGATCTGGAGATGCGTTCTTCATCAGACTGGTCATTGCTGTTTTGCCAATCTGAATATTTAGAAAAAAAAATACTACCTCTAAACCTCAACAACCTGCATTGCTTCTTCCAGAAGTAAACTCTCCTCCCATCAAATCTTCAGAGCAGTTTTTTTAGTCAACTAAGTGGTCAGTATGAAAAAATGGAAGATACTTTGAATATGCACTATTTTCAGTGTCCCTCAGTGCCATGTGCTAGAAACAATGTTCAATACATCTATGGGAACTGCAATACTCAAACTCCACTGATGACAGCTTTATCCAGGCACACAATTCCATAACATTAAAGAGTTTAAGAGGCCCCAATGGTGACACTTGTTTTGTCAATGTGTGACCAACTATTGCAAAAATTAACTTATATATCTATGATTTTGACAAGCAATACAGTCATATAAACTTTGTTTAAAATATTCAAATAGGTGACAATGAATCATGAAACATGCTAGTGATCCAATTTTAGAGGATACCAGTCCATGCCTCTACAATTTAACAAGTTCTATGATAAATAATTTACCCTCTGGAACCAGTTCACACAGCCTAAGGGATCCCACAAAGCACAAAACACAAGCACTCAGGACTAAATGTGTGGCAATAGCTATGTTGTAACAGTCCTGCATGACCATTCCTAGGTTTAAATAAAGAATCAAACTTCCTTCTCAAAGTAGAAATAAGAAAAATAAGTAATTGAAGTAATGGTAGGAAATATGAGCAATAAATGTTTTGGTTCAATCCAATAAAAACATTCTTTCAATTGAGAAACCATGAAAAGCTAATTCTTATTAGTACTTTTTAGCTAATTTTTATCAGTCTATAAGAGATATAAGAACTCATTTTTATTTGTTTCTTAGAAATCTCATTTTTATTTGTTTCTTAGAAATCCATTCTCCTCATTAGTCAAATTAAATGCAACATCATCATTATTATCATTATCATCATCATCATTCTATTTCAGTAATAATGGGTATAATTATTAACTATGTGAAAATTAATAAACAAAAACCTGATTTAAAATGGAGATGAGAGACTAGAAGAGAAAACCCTCATGCATATGTAGACCAGCTGACCCCAACAGGAAGAGACATACCTTGCATCTCCAATCAGAAGTGATACTACATTACTACCATAGCAGGAGGAAGCATTCCTCCTTACTCAATAACAGCTCAGCAAATGGGAGACTGCCATAGCTCACTATACTTTGAACTTTCAGTTTCCTCCAGTGGACTCTTCATTTACAACAGCTCCTTCCAAGTCCATAAAATTCCTCTCTTTTGTTTCTCTGTAATTGTGCATGGCTTACCATTAGATTGCGTGTCCCAAATTGCAATTCTTTGCTGTTCCCAAATAAAGTATTTTGCTGAAGAAATATTTGGCTGTCTGTTAAAAATCAAGAGCTATTTTTTATTTTTTTGAGCCAGGCACTTAAACCACATTGTTTCATTTAATCTTTTAAGAAAACCTCTGCAGTTGGTGGTGCTACCCCCATTTTATGGAAGAGGAAAGCGTGGTAGAGTGACTGAAGTCACTCCCCAAGGGCATGCAGCTAGCAAGGGCAGGCAAGAGACTTGCCAGAGTCTGTGTTTGTCCTTAGCCTGCACTCTTTCCCCCAGACTCCATTACTCTCCTCAAACATTCTTCTGACCTGACCACTTTTGGAACTCTTCAAAGTAAATCTCTCCGACAACTGTGGGCCAATAAAAGGTCAAGACTTACTTGCTGAAGACCATATAAATGTTTTATTTACCTGGACAGAGTCCATGGTGAGGGGTGAAGTTTACAAATTGCATGGAAGTCTCAGTTTTAGAAGAGGCTTGCACTATCTCCCACCATTCAATGATAGTGTAGGGAGGAAAAGTTTAAGCTGAAACAGTAATTTCCCACAAACATCATGAGTTCACTCATATTTGTGCCTCTGGTCTTCATTCCCAGAGGGAGTCAGTCATCATCTGCAGGCCACCTTCCTACTGTGCTTGCACAAAGCTCTAAGAGGGAAGGACTGCCAAAATGAAACCAGAGGCAGGGCTGAGCAGGAAAACCCATTCTACATTTTGAGGCGGCCCCTGAAAGGAAGGGGTTAGATTCAAATCCACTGGGCATTCTCTTTCTCATACGTCCACTCCTTGATGCAAATTTTTATTCATAATCTCAATGTCAGCTTACAGATGGAAAGTTGGCAGAAGTAAGTACAGTTTTTGTTTTTTCCCTTGGAGAAATACACATATGTACACACATATAAATGTGGGGTGAAGTAGATACTATTTCCTCTCTATAATGTGCAAATTTTCTGCAATGAGTATGTATTTATTTCACAACTTATAAAAATAATAACCATCATTTAAATATTTTTCTCCCCAGTCCCGTTGCTTTCTCATCAAAAGCTGCATTACCCTTAGATCTGCAGCATTTCATCAGGCAATAAACAAGAGTAAAACCTAGAACAAGAACAGGAGTATTTAAGAGCAAGTAATAGCAAAAGTTTTTAATTAGTGTGGTTATTATTTTCAAAGCAAAATGACTAAAACACAGGAATAGATGAAAACACCTCAAAGTCTCATAAGAACTATTTGGGCTATTCATCAACTTAGTAATTATGCATATGTAAAAATAATACATATTCAGGTGCATGGTCCATTTGTAGCCCAGTTCAATTTTGAAAAATACAAGACAGATTCTTCAAAACTGACAATTAAAAATAATTTAATGGAACATATTACTATAATATCTTATAAATATTCCACAGCAACAGATAACAACAATGTTAATAATCACTGTCAACAACAATGCCTGACATTTATTAAATGCTTTGTAGGGATCAGACAAGGGACTATGTGCTTTAAATGCATAATGTCTTGGAATCATCAAAGAACCCAATAACATAGATACTTTTTCTTATCCCTGTTTCATAGATGAGGAAACTGAGGCTTAGAGAAGTTAAATAATTTGTGCAAATAGCAGTATTGGGACTCAAAATCGCTTTTGTCTTAACACTATGCTAAAACCAAAATGTCTTCAAAATACCACTGAAATCAGTTAAATTGGTCTCTCAGATCAACAGCCTCTGAAACAATTCCTTCTAGGGATGGATGGAAAATGTGGTAATGATAGAAACTTCAAAAAATAGAAAACTTAGAAAATTTGGAAGTGAGGGAACTATTAAATGTTAGTTCCCAAGACAGTGCAACACCAAAGGAACTCATTAGAAAATCCTCAATCCCTTTTTAAAAAGAATTCTACCAAAGGTATTCCCTGATTTCTTTTTATAATCTGTGCATCTGAACTAAAACCTTTGCATTCTTCTTTATTGTCCATATATTTCATGATATCATATAAAGCAGATTACATGGGTATTTGGAAAAAGTATGTATGTAAACCATAACTTTCCAGTCACACTAAGAGTATAAAAGTTTATAACTCTGGACCATACCTTGGTTTTCATGAACTTGGAGTGACTTTTGTAAACTTCTATTTGTTTGATCTCTTCTTCACGGTCCTCAGTGTTCAGCACACCATTGGCTTTTAACATCTGGATCTCATCCTCAAGATCCCTTATGTTTCGCTCCAGTGAAGCAATTTTTGTGTCCTGTTGGTTAAAAAAAAGGAAAGAAAAATAAAACTATTTTTCAGTATCATCAAAACAGAATTTCATATAGAAATTTTGGTAGTGATATACTAACTATGATATAAACATAGCCCTGAATTCAGAACATATTTTTTCACTTCTGAAGATCATTTATTAGATTATTTTTTAAGCTCCCAATGAAGATCATGTCTCAATAAAATACAGAGAGTTACCTAGATATGTTTGTCTAATATCTGGAAAAAAATTATCAAAACAAGTGATGTAAACTGTTGAAAAATAAGACACTATTTAAGTGGCCAAATTGGTAATTTAAGATATAGTTTACCATTCTATATTCTTGAGTCTCCTTGTAAACACAAAAACAGTTTGTTCATGTGTATAGAGTGTGGCTGGTTTTATAAGGCATGCTTGGAATTTGACTGTGAGATGAAAGGAAATTAAAATCTACTAATGGGAAAAAGGATTCTCATCTAAAATACATTAGTAAAATTAAATAACAGAATCTTGAATTTATAGCAACTGGAAATAATATATCACAATGTCATGACTTATTTGGCAAGCAGTCAGGGTTCCTGTGTGACAAAAAACATTACTACCTTGAAGGGCATTTCTAACCTATTCATTTACAGAGTCAAAAAACTAGAATGTAGGATTCATTGAGAAAAATCAACCACACACAATTTTTTAAAAAAGGAAATGACAGTCTCTACACACAAGATAGAGCATAAGAAGAAATGATGCATTAGAAAGTAGAGAAGAGATGGCTCTTATAGGGGAAAAAAACATTCCCCAAACTTGATTATGAGACTCACATTAATCTTGTGAATGAAACATGTGGAAAGTTTCTCTTTCAGTTTTCTCACTATCACCATCTACCTGCCCTGTCATTGTACAAATTCCAGGAGTTTATATACATTTATAACTGAAATAATAATTGAAAACAAACCACCAACTCAGTTTTTAATATTTAATTTTTTAGAATCTAAAATACCAGAAGTTCCAAAAGTAAAGACAATGAATATGCTATTCAATTCATAACTAATTCACTAAAATAACTTAGAAATAAATGAGTCTGTCCTGACTTTGTGGCTATTTTCTACTTTGTTGTCCTGCATTACATAATCATCATTATCATTAACACTGTCATCATAGTTAAGAGGAAGACAGCTACTTATTGGGCTCCACTATCCATGTGCCAAGATCTAAGTGCTCAAAATGCTGGAGAAACTTTTTCTTAATTTTTTTTATTGTTCAAATACATTTGTCTCCGCCTTCCCCCCACCACTTTCCCCTGCCCCACCCACCACCACCTCCAACCCTCAATCCTCCCCCACTTTGGCTTAGTCCATGAGTCCTTTATACATGTTCCTTGACCTGACCCTTCCTCTTCTTTTCCCCATTACCCACCTCCCTCCTTCCCTCTCGTTACTATTGGTGTCTTTTTTCCTTTTCAATGTTGCTGGTTATATTTTCCTTGCTTGTTTGTTTTGTTGATTAGGTTGCACTTATAGGTAAGATGGTATTTGTTCTTTCACCACCTGGCTTATTTCACTTAGCATAATGCTCCCCAGTTCCATCCATGCTGGAGGAACTTTTATTAGTTCTCAGGGGGGAAAAAAAAAAGGAAGATGAAATAAAGAGTTGCTAAAATTTGCAAGAGTATGGAGTGCTACATTCTGTAGTATTCCATTTTCCTTTAAAAACAGCATTTTTTTCCAGTTATAAAAGTAATACACTGTAAACTCATTGAAAATGGAGAAAATCCCTTCTAATCCCACCATCCAGAGACAATCATCATTAATGTTTTTATGTACAGCTTGCCAGTCTTTTTGTATTTTAGATGCAATTTCTGAAGTCTTGTGTACTTCCAGTTTGAGTGAGGGGTGTGTTATGGACTGAATGTTTGTGTGCCTCCAAAATTAATATGTTGAAGCCCTACACCCTAATATGATAGTATTTGAAAATGAGGCCTTTGGAAGGTAATCAAGGTTATATGGGGTCCTTAAAATGGGACCTTTATGATGGGATTAATGCCCTCAGGAGAAAACATACTAGAAAGCTTGATTTCTCTCCTTGTCCTTCCCCATGTGAGAACACAGCAAGAAAGTGGCCATCGGCCAGCCAGGAAGACAGCTCTCTAAAAGAATCCTACTAGGATGGCACCCTGATCTTAGACTTTCAGCCTCCGTAAGTCTAAAAAATTAATTTCTGGAGCTTCTGATCAAGATGGCAGAATAGGAAAATGCATTACTGGCATCCTCTTATATAAAATTACTGGCATCTTCATATCAACTAAACAACAGAACAACCATCACTGAGAACTACTGTCATCATTGAAATCTAGCTGACAGAAGTACTACAACTACGGATATAGAGAAGAAGCCATGCTGAACAGGTAAGAGGGGCAGAAACGTGGAACAGGCTGGCCCCACACCCACCTATGGCAGTTAGAAGTCAAAAGAGTTAATCTCAGTTCTAGAGTTCCCCACTGAGAAATGAGGGGTTTGGGCCCCACACCAGTCTCCCCAGCTCAGACCATTAGTGCTGGAAAAAGAAGCCCTCATAACTTCTGGTTGTGAAAACCAGCAGAGATTGTAGCTGAATGAGACAAAGGGCTTCTGGGCCCTTTGGGCTTCTGGAGTTTCAGGAATTCCTCTTAAAGAGTCTGCTCACAGACTTACTTGTTGACAAACTCACTCACTCTGAGCTCTAGCACTGAGCAGGAGGTCGAAGGGCACCAGGGACACAAGGGGAGGAAATGAATGGCCTCGCTTTAAGGTGGAGGTTGGAGGGGCAGCTTTCTCCCAGACATTGTTCCTTTGCTGATCTCTACTGCTTCATAGGCAGGTGGGAACCACACCCAAGTCTCCATCAACCCAGCTCACACTATTCACCGTGCTCTAGTGATTCCCTGAGACCCCACCCCACACAATTGCAGTCCCACCCAAGCCACTTCCAGTGACTTTTCCATACCAATGGCTTGTCTTGGCTCAAGCTGCACTCTTTCCTAAATATCTCAAGAGTTCACAAAACATAAAACAAGTAGCATCTGACTGCAGTGCGCTAGGTACCTCCTGTTCAGTGGCCCCAGCCCTAGCACTAGTGGCAGCTGGACTTGGTACACACCTTGGCCATTCCTGAGTACCTCTAAGTCCATCACAAGTAGCAGCCATCTGCAGATCGCTTTAGAGCTCATGACCCATGGCCATGGGAAGGCACAGGTTGCTACTGACCTTGGCCTGCACCTCCTGGGAGGCCCCAGGCCCAGTGCAAGTGGCCAGCCTTAGACCACAGAGTGCCACCCAATCACCTCCACAAGTGACACACTCAATGGGTGGATTCAGCAGGCACTAGAGCCTCAGTGAAGCAAGTTCTGCACCTTGGGGTTGGCTCCTGCACAGCAGCAACTCTACTGTAGTCATGGTTGTTCTCATAGCCAATAAGCCTGGGGGTAAATCCTTCCCATTGATGCACCAACAGCATTCAAGGCTCAACTACAACAGAAGGGTGCACACAGCCCATGCAGGGGATGCGCCTAGCACACCTGGTTCAGGTGACTGAGGAAGCTAAGCCACTGGGTCCTACAGGACACCTACTACATAAGACCACTCTTCCTAGACTGGGGGACATAGCAGATCTACCTAATATAATATACAAACCCAGAGAGGCAGCCAAAATGAGGAGATAAAGAAACATATCCCAAATGAAAGAACAGAACAAGACTCCAGAAAAATAACTAAATAAAATGGGTGCAAGCAAACTATCAGATACAGAATTCAAAGCAAAGATTATAAGATGCTGAAGGAATCTTTAGTGAGAAATTCAATAGCATTAAAAGGGACATAGAAACCATAAAAAAAATCAGAAATGAAGAATACAATAACTGAAATGAAGACTACGTTAAAGAAAATTAATGAAGCAGAAGATCAAATCAGCAATTTGGAAGACGAGGTAGCATAAAATACCCAATCCGAGTAGTAGAAAGAAAAAAAAATCAAGTAAGGATAATATAAGGGACCTCTGGGACAACATTAAGTGTAACAATGTTTATTTCATAGGGGTACCAGGAGGAAAAGAAAAAGAGCAAGGAGTTGAGGACCTATTTGAAGAAATAATGACCAAAAACTTCCCTAACTTGATGAAGGAAAAAGACACAAAAATCCACGATGCACAGAGAATCCCAAACAAGATGAACCCAAAGAGATTCACACTAACAGACATCTTAATTAAAATGGCAAAGGTTAAAGGCAAACAGAGAACCTTAAAAGCAACAAGAGAAGAGAAATTAGTTACCTACAAGGATCTCCTATAAGACTTTCGGCTGATTTCTCAACAGAAACTTTGCAGTCAGAAAGGATTAGCACAAAATATTTAGAAATGAAAAACAAAGACATGCAACCAAGATTATTCCATCCAGCAAAGCTATAATTTAAAATCAAAGTATAGATAAAGAGCTACCCAGATAAGAAAAAGCCAAAGGAATTCATCACCACCAAACCAGTAGTACAAGAAATGTTAAACAATATTCTTTAAAATATATAAGAAAAAAAATTTAAAATATGGATTATAAAATGGCAATAAATACATATCTATTAACAATTACTCTAAATGAAAGTAGATTAAATACTCCAGTCAAATGATATATGCTAGCTGAATGGATAAGAAAGCAAGACCCTTACATATGCTGTCCACAGAGAACTACTTCAGATCGAAGTACACACACAGACTGAAATCAAAGGGATAGAAAAAGATATTTCATGAAAATAAAAATGAAAAAAAAAAAAAGTTGAAGTAGCAATACTTATACCAGACAAAATAGACTTTGAAACAAAGGCTCTAACAAGAGATAAAGAAGGACCCAGCAATTCCACTTCTGGTGTTTACCTAAAGAAACCCAAAATGCTAAATTAAAAAGTCATATGCACCCATATGTTCATTGCAACATTATTTACAATAGTCAAGATATGGAAGCAACCTAACTATCCACCAACAGATGAACA